TGAAGAAATGGATTATTATCAGAATTAACCAACAAACGCCTATTTATTTATATTTTTGTATGGGGTACATTCTTGATATTCAAATCAACTGGATATATTCATCATTCTAACCAGTAGCAACTATAATTCTGCATTTTCAAAAGGAACTACTCTATATCAAAAAATCATCGTCTCTGGTGCTGCACCAGTACGCGAATAAATTTGCTCTGAAGATGACTATTTCACTCTCCTCAAAATCTCCTTATAACCTGACCAATCACAAGCCAAAGACCACTTGTATTATCGTAAAAACAGTAGCTGTCTTTCAATTCTGATTGGTTAATCAGCGTTGGTGTTTACGACGAAGTAACCATGGATAGAAGAGTGAAGTCTGTAGGTTTTACATTGAACAATCATAGCTATAGATGTCAATATGCATTGCTTTGGTTATATGGCTTGATCATTGATGATGAATGCTTTTTACATGCTTCGGGAAATAGTCTTGGTGAATGCCAGTCTGTACTGAATATCTTCCCATTATTCTATATTTCATTGGTTACTCAACTGTGTTGTCGTACACTCGTCCCGACGGACTCGGGGTGTTGCTGGTAAATATAATTTCGTGAACAACAATGCGACAAAATTATCTCGAATATTCAGAACATCGTGATATTTTTGTTTATAATATCATAAACCAAGAGTATTTAGTGAATGCGATCCATGATGAAACAATTAGGTTGGATTTCAGTAGAAATAAACTGCTGGTGGCTTTCACACTCGCTGCTCGGAGTTATTCTAGTATGAAATGTTACACACAAAATTCACCTTCTGGATTATTATGATATTCCTTATACCTCCTGAACAAGCAGTCACCTAGAAACAGAAATCAAAGATGGTATTAGAAGGTTGTTTCCGATTCTGAGGAACAAAATGTCATAACTATACGGAGAAGCGCATTTTCAAATCTCATACTGCAAGCTTAAACAGTATATTCCTAATTTTCGAAATCAAAGATCTCTCAATGATATCCTGTTCAAAATGGCTCGAAATATTCTGAATCCTAACGCCCCTCAGCCGGAGAAACTGCTCACTTCGAGGTATCGCTGAGTGCTCAGCCGAGCTCCTTCACGTGGCTCAAGGACAGCCAACCGTTAAACGCTGACGACGATCTGACTGGCAGAACGCGCGCTTCGTGCTCTTCAACGGGTCACGTGTTCGCGCTGACCATCCGTGACGTCAAAGACGCAGACGCGGGCATCTACTCGGCCATGGCGCAGAGTGGGGAGGAGAAAGCGACCTGTTCGGCACAGCTTGTTGTGCATGGATGTTAGTAGTTGCGCTTCGATTTCATGGCGGATTCATGCAACATTTGCATAGTCCTAGTCTTAGTTCTAAGCATAGTCTTAGTATTAATTTTTGTCCTAAACATCTGAGATATTTACTCAGAACCATTAAAACTTGATTCAAGCATAGGAGTCATGTGAGAATTTGTGGTTCTTTCTGTATCAGAAAATGAGAAAAATTATTTATCAAGCTCATCAACATCTGAGCTTTCTCATAATATTTTTTTCGGAACATATAAACAACAAATCATCAACAATTCTATCAAAATTTGAATTTCAAATTAATCAACTCCCAAGGTCGTTTCTCAAGCTTATGCTCATGCTTTAGACTAAAATTGGTGTGTCAACGGCATCATGCAAGTACAAGCTATGCTCAAAATTATGACTTAGACTATAATTTGGACTATTTAAATGTTGCATAAATCCACCATTACTTTTTTTTTTCTGGTTCTGTATTCTGTTATGTCATGTAACCTCATCATAAATTATTCATGTACTACTAATCATATGCAATGATTGAATGGGAGACTTCGCTCCAAGTTGCAAGCCTAAAAATGGCTCACGATGTAGGGGCAACATTATGGAACTTTGATAACCGATTTTGAATATCGTAGGAGTCTATTCTGATGGAAGGTATTGGAAAAAATATTGTTTCCGTGAACTCCACCTTGAATTAGTGGAAAACTATGTCGGTGCATAGGTGTTTCTATTTATGGAATCAATTGTGGTTTTTTCTTGTTTTTCCTTCCTTAGGTTAGTATTTATTCTAAAAAGAGATCACATATTGATTTCATTCATTTATTTAGTTATTTATTCATTCGAAAAACGGAATACGAACGGTACTATCCCAGAAACAACATTCACAGATATTTCAAAATGAATCAGGATGAACCAATAGGAGTTTCAGATAATCCAAAGTAAAGTTCACATGAACTCATTTGTCTGCAACTGACATGAAAGTCGTTAATCTCCATCCCAAAATTAGCTCCTGGAGTTGACGTTCCTATTACTGACACAAAAATAGTCATTTTGCAAGGTAACAGTTCTAGTTCTCAGGAGCTGAATTTGAACTTTATTTCATGGGATGATTACTCGAAGAAAATATAGTGGAGTTATTTACTGTTGGGACCGAGGAAGATTCGCTATTTGTTTTTTCCAGGAATTTTTGTTAACTATTGTTTAGGTACGAATTATTTGTTCTGCCCTGTCTCTTCACGTCCTGTCTCTAGATCCCATTTCAGGTCGGATTGAATTCGAGCCAACACAAATTGTTACAAGGTGAAGTAGGCCGAGGATTCTCTCTACTTATGATCTGTCAAGTGGAGCACATTGGTGGTTACTTCACTTATATCCATTTCAGTTGAGTGATAATTCTTTAGGTTGCAGAAAAAAAAAACATGTTTCATCAGGATCAAAAGTGACTCTATATGACGCTCCGCCTCGCAAACGCAAATATCAATTAACTTTTTTCTGCCCGATGACCTCTACACTCACTGTCAAAAAATCCGACCACCAAAAAATTCAATCAAATTGTTGTAACTTGTTGCCTTATTGTAACTCTTTCAATTCTCGCCCAATTTCGGAGAAAATTGCGATCAAATCGTATGAGTATCATTGTTTCGGAATGTTACCTCAAATATTAATTTTCGTAAAAAGCTAATGACTTGATCATCGTTCGAGGAAATGCCAAAGTTATTATCTCACCCTTCACTTCTTAACGCCCTTTGGCAAAATTTAGTGAATCGACTTGGCTTTCTTCATGCTTTGGATTGAAGTTAGATTCCTTATCAAGACTATTGTTTTTGATTCACGTCAATATATTATTTTAAAGAGAAGATACGACTGTTTTGAGAAATTATGAAATTCTTTGATGATCAGAACCTACATGAACTTATTGATTAACATCTTGGCTTGGAAACTTGGGAGCATAGTCTCTCATTACAGGTACACTATAGTTTGACGTCAGCTTTTATTTGAACCCTTTGCTTGATTCTGATATTGTATTCCTTCAATTATAGCTTGATTTTTTGGAGACCAGTTTTGATGTTGCATTTTTTCAATCTTTGCAGACATTATTTCCTCTGATATGAATATATGTGTAGTTATAACGGTGGACTCTTTTATGTTTGTATATCTTAATGACACAGAAATAGGTAAATACCTTTCCTTCTTTTTCGAAACCTTGTATTTTCTCTAGTAATTGGACCTCAAATTGGGCGAAATGAAAAACATCAGGATTTAATTTGATATATCAGAAACTGTTTTCAATCATCAGTTTCTTACTCCACAGGGTTTCGAAAATACCGAATACTCCTCACTTCCTCACCATCAGTCATGTATATGATAAATAGAAGAATCGTTCGAAACTAGTGATGATTATATGCATCAAGCAACAAGTCATGGAAATTTATATTTGAATCCAGATGAGGGTTCCAAAAAAATTCCAGTATGAATCTAGCCCGTTCCTTTTTGAAAATGACACAGTGATATCTATCTACGAATTCCTGAGATGTTCAAAAACATAACTACTCGAAACTATTCCATAAATTCATCTTTTAGTTTTCATTTTTATGTTGATTGTTTCTTCGATAGAATCTTTAATCTGGTACCACAAAGTCCACAATATCTATTCTATGTTTCTCCATCAATAGTTCTTTTCCATAGACGAATCATGTCACATCCACCAACAAAGCTGCTTCACAAAAGCATCATTATATTCCGTGCTACACCTCAACTTCATATGATCCACTAAGTACAGAACTGGCCCGTTTCAGGATTCTGCGTTCACATGTAGGGTTCAGCACTCAAATGGACGCTGATGCTCTCAGAATCCTTTCAAAGTCGATCCATTTGTCTGGTTCGTGATACCACACAAACTTTTTCTGCGATATTATTAGAACATCGCAGGAAAGTTGGAGGAAGGATCTTTGAAGGTATTGGCGACACTCCAGCGAAAATTGTTTGTCAAAAATCGTGGCTGTCATTCAATCAGTAGCAATACCAGTCAGACAAACTGGTATAATTTGGATCTGAGGGTTCCACATGACTTCAACAGCAGCATTATAATTCAGAAACTCAGTCTCACTTGTATTTTGATGGTATATATATATTTCTTTCGCAATTGCGATTACTACATCTGAATCTACTACCCATAGTCCTTTTCCGGAGCATTAATTATCTTGAAGAATTATGGGATTTTATAGAATTCAGCCTTCTACAGGCACTTGTATTGTATTTCTAAAGTCAAATGGAGTGTTTCAACCAAGGAATGTTTGCCATGACTTCAAACAAACTCCAAACGAACCGACAGCGCGTGGCTCGTATTTTTTGTTTGAGCGACTCCAATTGACTTAGGATAAACGATACCAACGTCTGTTTCAGCACTTTTGTTGCAAGTCATGTAACTGGAACATTGTTCATCCACCTCTTCTTCATCTCATCCCTAATGTTGTGGAACTCAGACATATGTTTCATCTCTTGGTGAGCACTAACGGAATTCCCGTTTCCTTAGTGTTCACTTCCTAACCTTTGGAATAAATAGTCCCTTTATGTATTCACAATGTTAAATTAACGTTACGATTTTTGTGATTTTCGCTGTGTATCAGGTCTTTCGAGCAATGGATGAGAGTTAGTTGTGGAAAAAATTCTTCGTCAATGTGTCTTCACGCTATTTTTCAGTGACTACGGAGGAACGAACAGCTAGAGCCAGCACAGATAGACCAGAATTCATGGTGTCTATGAAAGATGCTGAACTCTTGGAAGATACATATCTTCGTTTTATGGTGAAAATTGTTGGAGAACCCAACCCTGAAGTCGCATTGTGAGTATATAATGATCCATCAATCCGAACAAAATATTCAATGAGCATACAGGGTGATATCAAAGTTAGGGCATGCTTGGGAAGAGGAAGTAGAATTCATTGAAATAGACAGATTCACCAGATGTTGTCTTGGTGAAAGTTGCCTACTTACGGAGATATTGATATTACCAATGGGACTGTTTCAGTGGAACCTTCAATATCATTATTTCGGAGTACTAACCCTTACTAGTTCACTGTCGCGAACCGTTTTTTCCTCAGAGCTCTGTAACTTTTTCAATAAACTTATTGAATTTCACGATATTTCATAACATGAAAAACGCGGAAAACCGCGTGACGTAATCATTCGAAAACACTTTATGAGATTTGACTTACATATCAATTATCTATTTCTGATAGACAATACAAGAATATTTCTGATTGTCATTCCAATCAGAATATTAAATAAATCGTCTGGATTGAATACTTACTGCAGATAACAGAGAATACAACACACTACTAAAAACTCACATGATAAAAATTAATAATAATAATAATGAATTCGACTAGTGTGTACCCCATTGACCAGTTCTTAGATTCCAAATGGAATTTATCACAAATGAATATTCTTATAAATAAATAGCTTACGCTCTTTCTCACCATCATCATATTATTATTACAGCTTCAAAGATGGAACAAAAATTCTGGAATCCAATAGACGTTATCAGATCATCAGAGAACATTCTGACAAGGGATTCTACGAACTGGTTATACCCGAAGTTAAGAAAACGGATGCTGGTATCTACAAATGTGTAGCGACAAACAAATTTGGAGAAGCTTCTTCAGAAGCTTCTGTAACTGTTACAGGTATATGACATCTATTATCCGAATTTCTGAAAACTCGTTAAGTGCAATCTGAATTCTGCCTCAGTCGATTTACGATTCCTTCTCAGTTTCCGAATCCTCGTTTCATTGACTATCAAAAATAAAAATCATGAAAATTATCGTAGGTAACATACCGAGACCATAACAGATAGCCGACTTTTAATTTTGTCATAATTCAATCGAGAGTACCTCGTATTTTGACAATTTGATGGGATCCTATGAACATTAATAATCTGAATAACTCCCGAGAGCTTTAGCTCAAATGTTCTTCAAAATTATTGGTATCAGTTTATTTCATTAGGAAATTGTCTCTCGATAAATTCAGAAAGTTGGTAATCTGCAAGGATTCAGCAAAAAAAGATGTAGTTCGGGAAATTTGAGCCTCTTTCGTATAGGGTGTTAGCACTTCCTATGCCATTACTCAATTAACACACAGAATGAGTCAAAAATTCAGAAAAAATCATGGTTCGAGTTACCTATTAGATTTTCACCTAATTATTTTTTTTTTTTTTGAAAAATAATGCATTACCTACCACAGAATAACGAAAAAATATCGGCCCACAATTTTTTTTTCTTTTTTTTTAGGTCAAATATCAAGTGCGTCACTTTTTTTGGAACTGAGTGTAAATGTTCATTGGACACTCAAAAATTATCGTGAAATATCTCTCGAATAACTCTCCTGATAGACATCATAACCCACAACAATTTCAAACATGCATAGGCACCGAAAGAGAATTTGCCAAAGAAATATTCTATGCTCCGACTATACTGTATATTCGGCGATAGTGCTTCTCAATATATTATCATGGACATCATTGAAATATGTTTTTCATACAATAATATGAAGTGTATTGGAGTGGATCATTTTGACGCCAGAGGAATAGTTGAATTATGTAGGACTTATGTAGAACTTGAAAATCTAAATATTCCAGATTTGTCCACATTTCCGAATAGAGAGCTCGTTGCTACATTATGTAATTTTTGTTTTAGAATATCGGTTGACGGGTTGAAATCGCCCACACTGTATGTTCTAGAGTTTAGGTATATCTGAACTCGGTTCACAAGTTTGTGTCCTTGACTATTGAAATTGAATCAGTTGAGGGACGTTGAGACATTCAGTATACTATAAGTTGATTTCAAGCTCCTAATTTTTCCAGAAAATAAACATGTATTCGAAGATATGCCTGAAGGAGAGATACTACCTGCTGGAGAGAAACCAGTTTTTCATTGGAAGAAAGATGGAACTCCGTTCGAACCAGAAGAACGTTTCAAGGTCCTTATGGGAGACGATGAAGATTCTCTAGCATTAGTATTCCAGAAGGTGAGGAAAGTTAAAAGGATTTATCCCTTTGGAGAGTTTGTTGATTTCTCATGGAGGTTTCGTGGAAGTATGGGAGTACACTTTCTCATCAGAATTCATTGTTACTACTTCATACAGAGTACTTTCAAGCGATATTGAAATTGATTCGCGGTTCTCGCTTCTCTGTTCTGTACGAAAGTAACTTCAATACTCGATAATCTTCATAATAGACGTCAACATCTCTGGACTGAAAAAACCTGAATAATCACGATTAAATAGTTTTTGTGACTTTTGACTTCGAAAAAGTTTGAATAACTTACAATAAAGACACGAGATTTCATGTTACTTTCCACTTTTGGGTTTATTGCTGATATGTCGAAAATGGTTCGTTGAAGCAAAAAATGTATTGATATCAAATGGGAGCTGATGAAATTGTTGACAACTTCGTCCCCATACACTCTTTCCTAATCTCCAATCGTTTTCGAGCTGCACGCTCCCCAATGTGGAAATTTTCGAATAAAACATTATCATCCCATTTTTCGTCGAACACTCCTTCATATCATCTGAACTATTCGTTTCCTTCAGGAAATGTTATGAAGATCTCAATTTTCCATTAGAATATATGTAATTATGCTACTTTGTCTTCAACTGGTCAACAGCTACACCAATTTCAAGGATTTCCTTGAATTTTGTCATCTTTAGGAGCATGTTTTTGACATTCCTGCGCTACGAATATCGTTTGCTACAGCTCTGTTCATACTAATGTGTTGCCACACATGGAAATAATATGTTTCTTCATGTCGTAGACGGAAATAATTCCACTATAGAAATATCAAAGTGTATTATGGAGATAAGGAGAAATCATATATTATTTTATCTCCTGGAACCCACATTGTGCGTACATAGAATATTCTAAGTCATTCGATTCTCAGCGTTGTCATTCTAAATACCTTGGTAATTGTGAACACTCCCCCTTCTCTGGATTCACGTCTTCATTTTCTTGGTGGATTTTCGTTGTAATTGGCACCAGGGTGCCACCTACATGTTTCCAACCACACTCATGAGGTGTCAGCTCGTTCCTGCTGAACTTGGTGGTAGATGCGTCGGAAATAGTATCCAGCTGCGTTTTCAATCGGTGGATGGAAGCTGATGGAACCCATGTAATTTGTCACAGATCTCACTGCTTGTGGTCTTGGTAATGCCCAACATCATTTGGACGAAGCCCATCTGCAACATCGCTGTGAGGGTATGAGAGGTTGATGAATATCTCTACAGTTCTCTTGATCATCTCAGATTACAAGTGAACTTATGAAAATTCAGCTACCGGTGAATGAATGTGAGAATGTGAGGACCCAATGTGTTCAAATCCATGTTGCTGTGCTGCATCTCCTAGTTGTGGGCAATGCCCTTGTTTTGGTTTTCTCCCGTCCGGGTTTCAGCAGCAGGTTGTCTCGGATGGTAGGAGTTTGAGCAATCAAATTGACAGCAAGGTCCACATCCACAGATTCCCGAAAAAAAAAAGAAAAACAGGGTATATCATTGAAAGTCTGTGAAAATGCCTCATCGTGGCATGCACGTTCCGCATTTCATTTTTTTTTATAGATAACACAGTATATCATTTTCATTGGCGTCGGAAGGAGGGGCGGGGTGGGCTGAGCCCAGCACAAAATATTGTCAAGTCCACCTTCAATTTTATGATACCAGTATTGATTCACTTCATTTCGTGACAACCGCATGCACTTGTCATCGTACATGCGAAGAGCATTTTATTCCTTACCGTCTGCCACATTCCTCCCCCATCAGTCCTCCCTGCCTTGACGGTGAAGTCGTCGTGGCAGATCATACAGTTGGTTATACATACATTGAAAATTCACCTGATGATGAATCGAGAACTTTGAGAGCTTTTCTCAATAATTCTGTTCAACCCAAATTGATCATTGCAAGTAGCTATTTCAATACCTGCTTACTCTCTGGGCTGTGAACGACGTATTTCTGCGATTAGATTAATGAAGATCTCGTTACGCTCCCGCATGATACTAGAGAGATTGAGTCTACTGTCTATTCCCCACATAGAAGAAAGTTTTACAGAACAAATCGAGCCAAAATATATTTTGGACATATTCGTGAAGAGAAAGACGGAAACTGTCATAATAATTCATGATATTTTGTTCACTATTGTTATGTAATTCTTTCTTCAACTGAATCTATCATTATTTCAAAGAATCGAAAATCCTTTTGTCGATATCAGATTAGTGAGTGCTGCAGCCAGATTGTATTGATTTTTTATTTGATTTACCTGAGCAAGTCTATGACTGTAACTCCCCCCCCCCCTGAATAAAACTCGTCAAGTTGCCAATGCATATATTCTTGGTACTCTACAATTTTTCTGATGGATTTCTTTCCTGGAACGAATTGTTGAGTCAATATGGAGATCGAATGATGATGTCGGATAATGATATTTTATTCAGAGATTTACGATTTTTGGAGCGCGCAGCTCGAAAACGGTAGGAGTTTTGGAATAATCGTGGGAAGAGAGTTGTAGAGGGTTTCCAACATATTTATTTATTATACATCCAGCCGGCCCTAGAGCCCAATCACAGGAATGCATAATTTCGAACTGAGTGATTAGAACAGGAAAGTTATACAAAATATCAGTTAGGAACTGGGTTAAGAATAACACTTTTGAACTGTGCAAAAGATAAGGAGGAAATATAGACAGTAGAGAAATTGTTCACACTTCTAGACAATGATATTATAAGTGAGTGGAAATTGTGTATTGAGTTAGGTACGAGAGAAATCTATATGATTGTGTATAATTTTGTGGATGAAGCATGAGTCTCTTATTTCACGATGTTTTTTAAGTGATATCAAATTGAACTCAGTGAGTCATAGTTATAGCCTCTTGTAGAATAATCACCATGCCTTTCATAAAATGCAAATTTCCTCTGAACATTCTTGATAGCTGGGATATATTTGCCATAAGACGGATTCCAAACAACACTACAATAATCAAGCTTACTCTTCCAACTCATGTAAGATATATGCTTCTCAGAGAGTCAAATGATTTGGAGTCCTCACAGTTTCGAAATTTTTCATTGAAGCTAAAATTATATGACCAACTTAAATTCTTGATCAAATTTGAATCCTGAGTCTTTCGATTCAGTGACTCGCACTAAAATATTGTCATCAAGCTTATAGTTCAATGTATTTGGAACAACTTTCCAAGTGAATGTCATAACTTTACATTTATTGATATTCAACTGAAGTTTGTTCTGGAAGCACCTGTGACTAGGAGAATTCAAGTCTTTTAGTAATGCAATGCTATCCATTTTATCTTTCATTCCTCTGTAAATCTTCATTTCATCATCAAAAAAAAGTCATTAGGATATGATCAGCAATATCGTTCATGAAGCCATAAACTCGGAAGTGGAACCTTCTCACTGTTCCATTTCTCCGGCTCGCCTTCTAGACGTCAGGGCTTTCAGTATGTTCACTGTCTAAACAACTCGAAAGAGTTCCTGAAGAAATCGCTTTGGTCGCTGCTCACGCACTTCACAACCACTTTTGGGTCATTCATTGATTGGACTACATGAAAAATATCTTTTTATCATTAAAAGTTTTCTTCTTATTTTTGGTCGTCGTAGAAGCCGCTGGTGAAGTTTGGCTGGTTTATTTAACACTCTGTATATAATTGGACTACTTTGATTCTAGGTCCGGCCTGATGACGTGGGCCTCTACACCTGCGTAGCGCAGACGTCACGTGGCCATATCAGCTGCAGTGCAGAGCTCACGGTGCACGGCACCGTCAACCAGCTGTTCAGGGAGCCCGAGAAACCCTCCTTGGTGGTAGTCAAACGCGACCCCGTCGTCAATGTAGGAGGGTCTGCCATGCTGGAGCTGCAGGTCAAGGGCTACCCGAAGCCCAATATCAAGTTCATGCACGAAGGGAAGACCATTGAGGCCAGCAAGAAGCACAAGTGAGTACAATAAGCATCGTTAGAGACATATTAAAAAAACTATCGATAGACCAAACAAACTGCAGTAAAATTTCATCTAAGAGGCACTTCAGGCCTGTATTTGTTGTCGCTCCTCAAGGTGACCCCGCCCCCCAAGACGTGATTGAGGATCAATTCCCAATTTATAGTCGAAATATGAGCTCGAAGGGAGCCTCAAGGAAAAGAGGTACCTGGAGCCTTCCTTGTATATTCCTTGATCCAATTTCTAGTATTATTTCTAGTTATGTTACGAAATAAGATATATTATGGATATGAATTTCATGGATTTGGGCTTGTTTGGTCTGGATCGCTTTATTATCAAACGGATATTCAAGTCTTGAAATTTGTACAGATTCCAGTATATCAATTTCCTTCAGAAGCTGATCGATAATTAAGTTCAGGTAAAAAGTGGATCATCTTGAAACTTTGTTCATGAAATTGAAATAAGTACATTTTCAATGAACAACTACACAAAATCACAGATTCATTCAGAGTTTTCAATCAAATAGTAAGTAAGTAAGTAAGTGAGTACCTAAGTAAGTAGGTAAGTAATTTATTTGACTATGTTATAGACAATTGCATATCAATAGCACGTCACAAAAAATGTTTGTATATAGTTTGAATTCAAGATACAAATAATAATGCACACAGTAATTATAGTAAAGTAAGTAGAAATAAAAACAAATTGAAACAGTCAACACATTAAAAATATTTGGTTTAGTGAGAGTGAGAAATCAAACCACCTTCTTCAACATATTTCTGATATTCCTCTATGGAGTAAAAAGAATTGTACAACGGACATAATTTTATAGTTTTCTTAAAGCAGTACATGGTTAATTCCTTCAATGATCCAGGTAGAATATTGTAGAGATGGTAATTCAATGAATTATTCATGGACTTTGTGAGTCTATATCTAGGTATTCTGATTTCATGTGATCCTCTTGTATCATGCTCATGAATATCAGAATGAATAATTAAGTTTGGTGAATTCTTATGGATCTCAAGTGAAGTACTCAAAATAAACAAAGATGGGAGGGTCATAATGTTCAGCTTTTTGAACAATGGTCTGCAAGTATCACGATATTTGGCATTTGCCAGGATTCTAATAGCCTACTTTTGTTTCCTGAATACACTTGTGGTTTCCGAGGAGTTACCCCAGAGTAGTATACCATAATCAAGATGAGATTGAAAAAGGGAGAAGTAGACAGTTCTCAAAGTACTCGTATTTGTGATATGCCTCAACTGGCGAATAGTGAGCTAGATAATTTTTGATTCAAGATTTCAATATGACTTGACCAGTTGAGTTTGTGATCAATGGTTATGCCTGATAGTTTCACATTTAGATTTTCTTGTGTAGATGTATTGGTGGTAATAAATATCAATCTTTGTGTATTATCATCATTTAATTTGAGTCGATTTGCAATAAACCAGTTCTCAGCTTTATGCTCTGCCTCTGCAGCCATCAAGATTAGGGAATCATAGTCCTTATGAGAATATATGAGGGTGGTGTCGTCAGCGAACAGAACACCATCATGAGGTGTAAAAATTGGCGTCAAGTCATTCACATAGATAATAAATAATGCATTATTATTCCTCTTCCTCACATATTATTCCTTGAAATAATCCGTTTTCAATAGAGTAGTTTTTGCATCATTGACACTCTTCGAAATCTTCTTCATTTTGTGGAACCGTGGAAATTTCTTTCCTGTTAATCATGTGTGATCGGAGAAATATGTTTTTGGGCCCAAATCATCCATCGACCTTTGAAGATTATCACTGGATTATTATATATACTTTTGATGTCCATAGTCAAAATGTTAGTATCTTCGTCAAATTTGACATTCTTTATTTTGTGACTTGTTTGTGACAAACACCTGACATGAATCAAAACATTTGGTCACAAAACACTAATATCAAACACAGTTGCCAAGTATGAGGGCTCCTTTCAAAAGGATTATTCAAGGGATATCCATAAAACAAATTTTTCGTCAAGTGCTGGGGAGTCCTCAAGAAAACCTCAGATGAGGAGGACTTGACGAGTTCTTGGGGAAACGACTATAAATACGGCCTCAATCTATCCTTCGATCATTTGATCCAGGTGAGGTGAGTTCAGGTTGGGGTTAGGTGAGGTTAGATAAGTCGGCTTTGTTGGTAGTCAAACATGACCCTGTCTTCAATGTGGAAGGAGCTGTCATGCTGTAGCTGCAAGTCCAAAGATACCAGAAGCCCTATATCAAGTTCATGCACGAAGGGAATACCATTGAGGCCAGCAAAAAACACAAGTGAGCACTGCATGCATCGTTAGACGCATTAGAAAAAGTATCGGCGAATTATTAAACCAAACAAACGGCCGTACGATTTCATGGAGGAAGCACTTGAATCCGTCCCTTGATCATTTGAGTACTCTATGTTTCGATAGATACTTTGTTTTCAGTTGAATCGACCATTACTTGATGACAATCAATTTTCATCGGAAAAGGGTTCTGGAGAAACGAGACATTTGGGAAATAAATATTATAGAATCCTTAGACCAAACAATCAGCTCAACAATTCAATCAGGAGAGCACTTCAATCCTGTGGAAATCGTGTTTGACTCTTCCATTCTTTGATCCAGATTAGGTAAAAATAGATTGAATTAGGCTAGGCCAGATAAGTTAGCTTCGGTAATGATCGAAAGCTACCTCGTCAGAAACGTGAGAGAGTTTTTCATGCTGAAGTTGTTTGTGAATAAGGGCTATCCGAAGCCAAATATCAAGTTCATTCACGAAGAGAATTCCATCGAGGCCAGCAAGAAACACAAGTGATTTGATGAAGAATGCTTCTCTCAGGTATTTCAGCATTGATATAATGACGATCCATCATCATAGGAAAATATCGACGAATCCTCAGACCATACAAGCAGCTCATTTTTCGTATTCGCTTCTCCTTCCGACTGCTACAGCAACAGAGCAAAACGATCAAGAGCCATCGGGACAATCTTTGAGTTTCTATCTCCTTTTGGCATTGTATGCTCTTCATGATGAATCTATTGTTTCGACATCACGGATCATAGGTCTTTCGTTTCAATGCAATAGCTCTAGACCGGTACTTGTTATACCAGGGTTCCGAAGGTGAAAATATTGCTGAAAAATGAGATATATATGTGTTCATTCCTAGCATGATGGTCTTGGATATCTCAGCATCATAGTGTGAAGGTAGATTCGAGGACACATGCGGAGACCGTCCCAGTTTCCTGAGTTATAAGGCTATACAAGACATAGGGGTGGTGGAACGAAATATGGGCAGGTTATGAAACTGAGTGTATGGTCAGAATTGCTCAAGTGGGGTATGTCTATGGAGTAAGGTACCAAATCATGGTGGGGAATATAGCAAGTATGTTGATTGAATGGTTATTGGCATCGGGAGTTCCGAGTAGATTCATGGATAAGCTGCACTGAGCACTGAATAATGGCGCAAGCTTCGGTGTCCCGCCCTGCTTCATTGGTTCTGTTTTTATGTTCATACCAGAGGTAGTTTCGTGTATTTCAAAATCACTCATTATGTTCTAGCTTCAGAGACAATATTTTGATGGGAGCTCCATTGGATAGATCGTTTGGTGATAAGTGGAGACTAGAGAAAACAGAGATTTTTGGTCTGTTCGCAAATTAATCTTATATATTTCATATTTCAATTCAGTTCCTGTATTCGATAGTCGAATATCTGCCTCAATCAATATGACAAAAAAATTACAAGCTCTAATTAGATGTACCGGTCTCGATATACTTATAATTATCAGAATAATGTCATTCTTCATGATTCAGGATGGGAGTTTCTGTTCATGAGTTGGGACATTTTATGAATCTCACATAATTTATCAGTGTCCTGAAATTTGATTTTGAATAAGGCGACCACGAATATTTGTGGTACTTAATTATCAAAGTGCGAATGATGTTTCAGTATCAAACTGGTATTCTTCATGAATTTTCATTCTGAATTCATGCATTCATTTTATTCCAGGATCCTGTATGAAGACGAAGAAAGCGTTTCGCTCGTCATCAAAGACGTCGAATCTTCAGATGCCGGCAAATATACTTTCACTGCTGAGAATGAGCTGGGATCAGACTCTGTCGACATGCATCTGACTGTGAAAGGTGAAAATTATTAATCAATTTGTTTTCTGAGGGGTGAAAATATCATCGATGCTTGATGAAAAACAATTTGTATTCCAGGCTTTCAAGGATTGTCTTCATCACCCCAGGAAACATTGTTATTTAAAATTGGGATGTGATTTGATATACAGTGTTTCAATTGATTTCGTGTTAAAACTTCCATATGCAATATTTTGAATGAAACATAGACAGTAAGTTTATACGAAGATGATTTCTCTCAATTTCTCCGAAACTTCTCTCCTTTTTTCTATCAACAAAATTACTGTTAATATTATAATATCCTCATTTGTAGGGAAGGCTAATCAGATAATTTGCCTCAAACTGCTAGATCTTGTAGAATTTGACTGTAAGAAACTCAAAAAGAGATATCCAACTTATAGTCATTGACACCTTCTTTGAAAAATTTTTGAAGAGAAGGAATGAAAATATTCTTCCAAGTGCCATTTGAAATGTTTCAACTCGAGAATATCATCTACGTATCTTCATCACGCTTTAGTCTTCTCTTCGTATTTAGAAAAATTTCTTAGACATGGTGTCACTTACGATCAATCGAAATTATCTTTCAGATCTCTCATAGTATATCATATTGAATACGATAATGATTTGGGACAAATCTTTCCAATTTGTCGAAATTATAAAAGAAAGATCTCGTAAAGTACAGGGCTAGTTTTATTAATGTGAACATTCATTCATCTTCTATGTTTTCTAGTCATTCAAGAAGATTCAAAGCTGATATTTTCACGATATTTCATATTGGTTTCAATCATATTGAGAGAGTGTTGCCATATCTCTTCAAGTATACAGGGGTATACAGAAATATTTTGATTTTTTATATCGAATGCGCTGTATATTTTGATAGATGATTCTTCTATATACAGTGTGTCCACCTTGAGGACTTACCACCCCTGTAAAATCGTTATTATCCGACCAATTTCAAAGAACCTTTTTTGTTGGATAGGTATTTGAAATGCCCAGCCAACGAGATACTGATCTAATTCTTGGACTGTTATCGTGGCCAACTGCGGCAAATTTCAATGACCTATATTCCAGAAAGTACTATTAGGGATTTTTTTCCACGAAACTTGATGATGGATTCTGAATCAGTTCTACTTGAAATATACCTGTACCGATTTTCATCATCATAAAACACAGGGTGTCCGAAAAAACGAATCATCATTTTCTTCAAATAGGTGATCAGCAAATATAGTTTTGTGGTTTTATAGAGAGAAATAATCACAAATTATCATTGAGGAATATTTCGAATATACCTGTACCAATTTTCGTCATTTGAATATACAATGTGTCTGAGAAAAAAATTAAAAAGGATAGGTAAGCAAGATTTTTCATCCTGATAATTCCTCACTCAAAATGAACAGATGAATCAGGATCACTTGAAACATACCTGTACCGATTTTCATCATCATTAAACACAGGGTGTTCGAAAAATGAAATTGATATTTTTTTTGAGTTGATGACAAAATATTGCCTACTTTTTCTTTTCAATTGTTTTCTCATACACATCGTATTTTTGAATGATGAAAATCGGTGCAGATATGTTCAAAGTGATCCTCAATAATAATGTGTCATCATTTTTTCTCGAAAATACCACAATACTACATTTTCTGATCACCTATTAAAAAAAAACATAATTCGTTTTTTTGGACACCCTGTGTTTTATGATGATAAGAATCAGTAAGGGTGTTTTCCAAGTGATCGTGATTCAGAATCCATCATTGTTTTTTGTGAAAAGAAATCCCTTATAGTCCTTTCTCAAATATGGGTCAATAAATACATACCCAACAAAAAAAAGTTTTTTGAAATCGTTCAGATAATAACAATTTTACAGGGGTGGTCCTTAAGGTGGACACACTGTATATGTTCGGAATCAGGATGATTTAGGGAATTCAAATTCATCGAAATATACAGGGCGTTTCATTTGAAAAATATATATTCATTCCTGTATACCCTGTTTATTTGAATAGATATTGCATCATTGTCAAAATGAGTGAAATCTGTGCGAAAAATTGTATGAAATCAGTTTCAAATTTTTTTTGAATGGGTGGAAAACAAAAAAGATAGAGGAGGGTTCACATTAATAAAACTAGCCCTGTACCTACTGAATAAATTATTTTTTGTCCGAAATATTCACTTCTGAATTATCTCCATCAGAAACATATCAATTTTCGATCTCAATTGTCCACATTCATGAGAGAGAATTAATTATGCAGAGTGGTCCACGTTTGAGTAATGATGTCCGTGACAAATTCTTCAAAGGGAACACCCTATATCCGAGGGCAACCATTGGGATCTCGGAAACTTTAGCCGATACGAAGATGGTTGAGTTAGGGTAGAGTTGTGCATTTATGTGGCAAAACATATGCCATCGAGAAAATTTCCGAATTCCGAGTATTTTCAGAACGAACTGGAATTTGGTGAACCATTTTTTTTATGGAAGTATATCTGAATTGAGAGCACATTCATTCAGTCAAATTTTTCCTGCTACACTCAGTCAACCTGCGAAGTAACAGTTAGTCGCAGGGAATACCTATTAATGTCACACCAAAGATCGTCTTGAAGACCAATTATAGATATACTGAGGATTTCGCTTTGTGCATATGAACATCCACATATTCTTAGTCTTGCAAGTTCCTTAACTCAAATTTCTTCAGAGTTTAATTGAATATTATATCGAAAAGTTCATATAAAGTGTCATATGCGGCGCCCTAGAAGTGGTTCTGAATCCATTCTGAAGCAGTCGGTCCTGCTCTTCCTAACCCCGCACAAGTTTCGACTTCTGGGTAGTTCATTCTCAACACCGAAGTAGCGATATACTATCAAATTGATGATATAAATGGAAAAATTGGAATAATAATTCCTTGAGGAAAAATTCAAGTGCAATAACATATATTATATCAAATATCTACATGAGAATATTATAATTTTGATCATGTAGGTATAATCAAACCCAATAATAACAATTGTTGCTCCAAATCAGAAATGGATTTCAATATCTGATTCATCCTTTATACAGTATAGCAAATGTGTATCTGTCAAATTAATCGGAAGATGGTGCTGCTTACATAGAAAGATCGAAAAATATTCCAAAGTTGATAGATACACTGGGATGAAATTATGATTCGAACATTACAGTGTATCTCCAACGAATTATCGTTGTGATATTATTTGATATTCACATTCCATACTAGATCAATATTGATGGTCGAAGAAGTGATAAACAAACATTCAAAGGAATGCAACCGATATATATATATATATATAATATTCAAATATATTCTCATCAACAAATCAACATTCAACAGAATGACACATTGTGATATATATAATACTTCCTGGATACAGTTACCAGAGAGCTTCACTCGAAGTTCAAATCTCATCGCACAGTCAGAAGTTTGGTAGATGAAATAAATCTACAATGTGATCTCCTGACAATACATTGACGATGTATGGGACCTTAAGTAATCGCCAATAACTACAGGTGCACCTTTTTTAAATCAACAATGCTTATTCGCATTTCCACAATGATAATTCCCTACAACTACCCTGCAACCAACATTGGTTATCTGCGGGACGATGATATTTTAGGGTTCGCCATGCCACTGTAGTGCCTCTACATAACCGTTATTATGACCCTGTAGATATTTGATATTCGGAAGGTGATGACAAAAAAAGTCATCAAGTTTGAAATATATTGCAATTGTAATTCATTGCTGGAATATAATATACTGAATAGTTTTAGTGGTAATCGTTTACTACAATTAGTGACCCCGACGTGATCTTGAATCTTGAACAAGTTTGAATTCTCTTTGGCAATATTACAGTTTAACATGACCAGTATCTTTCTACATTAAATTCATTCCAAGATTATAGTTTCGAGCTCGAAGATTGAATCAATTGCATTGAACCACAGTTCAGGTTCGTTTTTTTCAGAAAGTGGGCAATGAAACAGAGAATTCCGCTTCAAGAAAAACTCAGAATAGTATTTTGAATCAACATTTTCTCTAATTCCCTTAATTTGTTATAATCATCTTCCAGATTTTCCATCAGTCTGATGCAATGATGTTCTGATCTTTCTCTGGATATCATCTTCAATTGTCTGAGTTTGAACCTCATGATTGTCAAAAGTTTGATTCAAAAGATCTGTGAAATCGACATCTTTCGTATCAATGTTTATTTAAAAGTGCAGCTTCTAATTAGATTTTCATGTCGAGCACTGTCTGGGTTCCACCTAGAAATGTTTGAGAAGTTTCATCATTACTCCCGGGTCAAATTCTGAAGGTGCTTTACAATCTTTGCACAATTTCAGACGGTTCTCTGGCGTGATCACCAATGGGCTTACATCACAAAACATTTTTATTTCATAATTCGATAGAACTCACCCAAACTAGCTCACCACCGCAAACCGTTTCTTGCTGTGAGCTCCCTACATTTTATAAAAAATTATTGAAATCGAACCTCTGAAAACGAGGCGATGATGTGACGTCAAAACCCTAATACTGAAACAAGACTATTCCAGACAGATATAAATGGTACATGATTCCTGACAGTGAATTAGCGCGAGATCACAGTCGTTGATTGATATTAATATATCAATCAACGTCACAGTTGAAAGAATCAATATATCAGTTGTCTCAGTCTCCGTCGGGCGTTTGGTGGCGTGATGAGGTTTCTACGTCATAAGATGGTCCGTTTTTAGAAGGTACTATTATTTATGCCCAAAAATGAAATATTCCAGTCAATTTTATGGTCGAATTATGTCGTCAATCATTATTTATGAATAAAAGGATCATTATAAACATGGTTTGAGTTAAAAGTTTTACTAAGGTATACACGCCCATTATTTATAGTGATCGATTACGACTAGAACTATGAGTTTATTTTTCGGCGATAAATTACAATTACAATATATTCCAAACCCGTCAAAACTTGATGTTTCTTTTTCTCGTCATCACATTCCAACTATC